TTTCAAAGTGCCAAGTGTTAGCTCGACTTATATATTTATTATATTTACACATAAATATATGCCCCCCCCCCAAAAAAAGAACAAAAAAAACAACTCAAATGCCACACAACCCTTTTAACAACAAGCACCCACATTCAAAGAATTGTAATTCCACTACTGTGAATCACCACAGTGGATTTAAATAGATCAGTTAAGGCACCGTCATTAATTTAGCAGGTTTATCAAGTATTGCAATAACTGTTTCAGAATTACAGCTATTTTTGTACGTAGTCCTCCACAGTTCCAGAGGCTGAAAATATTTGAGCAGCTGACTGAAAACCAGTTTCACAGGCTTCCTAACAAGCTGCTCCCTTGTTATTCATATTAAGCAGATATGAGATATGAAGTTGATTAAATTTATGTTTGTTTGCTGTTCACTGAAAACTGTCCGAGGGCCAAAGATGTGTCGATGCCTGATGTAAATGAGGCCAAGTTACAGCATGGGCACGTACGTCTGCCAGTAGGAGCAGGTGTTTATTGATGATGTGACAGCTGATAGAAGTAGCAGGATGAAGGGTACAGAGATACTGTATGCTCTCTGCTCAGATTGAGCCAAGCACTGCAAACGTCATCAGACGGAGCTTCACAAGGCTAATGGATAATAATCTGACGTAAATGCAAAAGCAGCTCAATAGATTCTAAAGGTAAAGACATGGAATATTTTTAAAAACACCTGATCTGAACCCAGCAGAGCAGACTCTCAGTCACCGAGACACACAAACCAGCATCAAAGTCCAGTTTTCTGCAGCTGGTGTCCTGCAGGTTTCAGATCTCACCTGGGTCAACACACCTGAATCACCAGGCCTCTGGAGAACTTCAAGACATATTGAGGAGGTCATTTAACCATTTAAATCAGCCGTGTTGGATCAAGGACACATCTAAGTGTTTGGAAAAGTGTACTGCTAAAAGTACTTTTATTGCACTACGTTATTTCACTCTTGAGCTGCTGTAACATGAATCAAGCAGCTGAACTGCCACCTCAGCATGCACGATACAGAGTCTTGCTAATGGCCTACTAATGTTATTCAGGTGTGTTGCAGCAGAGACACATGGGAAAGTTTCAGGACACCAGCCCTCGAAGACTGGAGTTTGACCCCCGTGGCCTAGTAGACCATTATGGAGGAAAAATAATAAATAAATAACATCCAAATTCTCACAGCCCTGACTGTATCCATGGTATTTCAATTTTAAAGTTTCACCAAAGCCATCACGTGCAGCTTGGAGTTGATTTGGAGGTGGCTGAACAAGTATCTGTTTCTCCTATCAGAGTTAAAAATAAATAAGAAACTCTGAGTAAACATGAGTGCTGACATGTAAAAGTGTATTAACGCTCATTGTCAGTCCATTCTATCGTGGAAGCAGAGTTACTAATTATTCCTACTTGCTCACGAGCTGCATGTAAAATATTCTGCCGGATATTCATCGCATTTTCATAAAAACAGGCAAAGCATCTGGGGAAGAAGGCGCATCTGATGATTATAGCTGCTGTATTGTGGTAAAACTAGCTCATTCACACTGCTTATTGTGCTGTATTTCACTGGCTTGTGAGAATAACAGGGTGATAAGATAAATGCAATAATCTGATGTTAAAGAGTCAAAAAAGGTGCACTGAATGCACTGAATGTGGAAATGCTTCTGAATGGCTTTCATGAATTTTATGTAAAATATGTCTCTTATCGAAATGTGAGACGATGCATTTCCATCAAGCTGCATGCACAAAAACTTTACTGTGAAGAACTTTCTTCAACTCACCTTGGGTCAACACACCTGAATCACATGATTAGTTCGTTACCAGGCCTCTGGAGAACTTCAGGACATGTTGAGGAGCTAATTTAGCCATTTAAATCAGCTGTGTTGGTTCAAGGACACATCTAAAACCTGCAGGGACACCGGCCCCCGAGGCCTGGAGTTGCCCACCCCTGCTCTATGGTGTATAACAATATGTGTCATGTATTTGAAGCTTGATTAATGACTGACTGTGCACCACCAATGTGAACCACTTAGATGCGTACTAACTTATGCTGTAAGTCCTTGTCTAACATGAATATTTGTACTATTACAAATTATTACAAATTATTTTTGTCACTATTCGTGGCTCATTTCAAGAGACTTTTTAAATATTTGCCCAGTGAAAAGCCACTTCCTGATGAAACTGTGGATATTACACTCTCCACACTCTGGAGAACCCATCTAATTTTCCTGTATATATTTTCATCTGCTTATTCAAGGAAATGCATTATTGAACTGCAGGCCTTTATTGCCACAGAGTAACAGTACGTTTATTATGCTTTATTACAGTTTGAATATATTAAAACTGAAGACTGCATTCATATGTTTTCAGAAGTGTAACCTCCACGCTATCAGAGAACGTTATCTCGCTTTAGTTTTAGCTGACAATTGAACAGCTTCAGCCTCTCAACCAAATAAAGTCTGCTGTGAAAAGAAAAGAAGATTACGATTAAATTAAAATCATGACAGGAGGAGGAGGAGGAG